ATATATTTTAGTGATATTTAGACAGGCCATTTGTACAAAATATAATTTTTGTATTATATTTGTAAATACTGTTAAAAGTAAATTATAAAAGTTAATTTTAACCTAAAATATTCAAAGATTATAATAATTTATAGAAAAGAATATGTTTAGGTAAATTTGATTATTTTATTCATAAAGTATTAAAAATAAAGTTAATCACATAAAAAATATTCTAACCCATTAAACAGAATTTAAATCTCTGCCAGTTTTGGATTTTGATCTCACTAAAGACATGCATAATCTATCAACTCAATAAAATGAGTTTTTGGGATTATGGATCACTTCATTTTATTCATTGAAGAGCGAAGCACAAAATACTACATTGTAAACATTCACAAGGCCATCTAGCAAAGTAGTAGCACCACTCTTTGTTGAAATCACATTGCCACCGTCCACTACAATCGTAGCTCTTACTATCAAACGCATCAGAAAGGCCATACATTCAAAAATCATTGAAAGGTTAGCCATAGCAAGGAATTCTTGCGGAAGGCTCTATAACAAAGTTGCTTCTAGATTCTTGCAGGGCCTTTGAGCATCAAGGAAAATCATGTGGTGGCCTTCTTGAGAAAGGTATCTCATAGTGGCATGGTGGACTTTCCAGTGCTAGCTGGTTCGACAATATACTGAAATCCATACATATGGGTTGCCTCGCCTTTCATTGCGACTCAAAATTACACCCTCTTCCGGTGCTACTTCTGGGCATCTACAAATGAAATTGATCAGCCTTCCTTGCCCATACGATGGCAAGGGATTGAGCATGGGTTAATCTTAAGGATCCTAGCAAAGAAATCTTAAAAAAAATTGCTTTTTATTTTCTATGTTAGAACTCTTCTCTTACCTTGGAGGCGAGGATTGTGGCGTCCTATTCCAAGAAGAGAAAGGATATCAATCTTTAATAAGGGGGGCAGAGTGTTGCAAATATGACTTTAGGTATTGAAAGATACTTGTTGGTCAGTCTTTATAAACACTCTTTTCTTACTGCTATGACAATAATAAGTCAGTATTGCTAATTTTCTTTATTAACCCCTCTTGTCCAAGTGTTAGTAAACTGGATTTAGCATTTGTACTTAGCTGGATGAGCAAAAAAAAGGAATTCCTAAATGTTTATTTAGCTAAGCATATTTGGCTCAGTTTATTAATTCTTTTTTACTCTGTTTTGTATTGGCTTAGCAAGAACCCTCGCATATTGAGTCTAGTCCCTTAATATTGCTACATGATAACTTACCATGCATACCAAACACCCTTGCTATCAGTCTCATTCTGGTCCCAAATGTTATTTGTGAAAAGTGTTTAAATTTTACTCATTTTGCATATCTATGGAATGTAGAGATTGTTTTGAACATAATGGTGTTCATCCCATGTCTAAATTCGCAATCTAAGAACATTCTATATTTTGTAAATTTCAAACTTATCCCAGAGACTAGTACTAAAGGAGGCTTGGGGGGAAAGCCCAAAGTGTATGTTCTTAAGGGGGGTTATAGGGGGTTTCAAATATATAATAGGGATAGTGATTGAAATGTATGTCTGACCACCTAAAACATTAGTTTAGCTTTTGCTAGGTTATATCACTCCTTGTTTTGCACCCAACTTGGGTAAGCCCAAGCAAAGAACACAATACCTTCACAAGTAAATCGAAGTGACCATGAACATCTAGATCACTTATGGGCGTATATTTGTCAGCACGAAGCACGAGTTACAGTGATTCCAAGCGTAAAACAATTTTACATACGGTCTGATGATCGCATTTGGCTTCCCATCCTTTTTCTTACCCATGGCAGCCTTGCAAAGCAAAGAAAAATTCACGGATCTTCGTCATAAAGTTTAGCAGCTCCGTTACTTTGTCAAGAGGCACGAAGCAACGTTAAGACCCAGTTGTGCATCGTCATCCAAGGCAAACCTGGACAACAAAATTATATAAAGAACATTAGCACATCGTCTTGTTTTCCACTTTTTCTTTCCTCTTGCCTGTAACATCTCGTGTTGTGAGTCATAGGCTTTGCTTCTAAGAGTCAAAACTTCCGCCATTCGTTCGAATCCAATGCTGAAAGGACAATGTGAGCAAACCACGACCAAAACTTAGAACTTTCGAGCAAAAAGCAAAGCATGAGCCAAAATCCTCAACGTCGCACCGGCACTCTAGTCGATGGGGTACCTTCTTTCTTACGTTAAGCCACTGATATACCAAAATTGTGCCAAACACCATTTAATACCATTTAGTGTGCAAGTGCGAGATATAGAGAGCTGGTGCTCATAGGATTTTATTGGACCCTTGTTTTGTAGTACAATGGGGTTGGAGTTTAGCTTTAAATTCATGTGAGTTACATGCACGAAGTAAGAAACTTCGAAAATGAATGTCAAATTGCATCACTGGCTCTGATGGCCCTTGATGAAGATGATGCAATTGTTAAGAGGCATTATCAAAATCATCAACATGTTTGAATGCACATTTGAAGACATTTAGAAGAATATTCTAATCCCCATGAGTGGCTACCCTCAAACCATTGTACCACTTCAGTGTTGTCCCTTAGAGACACATGGGAAATTCATGCAAACATCAAGTATCATCCTAAGAATGATATATAGCAATCACTGTGAAATGATCGAGCCAATAGTACACATCATCCTCAGGATTCCTACGAAATAACTCTAGCCGAACGTGAGGACTAGCACCAAAAGTAGGAAAAGCTATACCATATGTCATGAATACTACTATCAATTGAGTTTGGTTATTCAATTGCAATCACATAGCATCAAGTCAAAGTTAAAAGAGGAAGAGACTATTACTTTGCCATGAAGATGAATGAAAAAGAAAAAGCAAAAGAAAAGAAATAAAAAAAGCTAGAAAGAAAGAGAGATTTAGACAGTATAAAAGTTAGATCTAAACCAAAATCCCAAATCCAAGCATTCCTGAAGGATAATTAAAGGTGCCTCTCACTTCCACCAATGTGAGTTAAAGGTGCTCCTCACTTCTACTAATGTGAGTGCATGGAATTTGGAAAGGAAATATAAAAAATGTGTATATCAATTAGCCCAAAAATTATAACTTATATACAAAATCGAGTGGTCCGAATTGAAACTAATTCGACGGCTATCAAAATCCCACTATGCTAATATTAATATACGGCATTGTAGCTATATATGTCCACATGTTACATGCTTTATTGATGCTTTATTGTTTATACCTAGGTAGGCTGAAGTATAAGCAAGTGGCTTTACAAAGTTTATATTAATTATAAATATTATTTATTTAAATTTAAATTTAATTTGGCTATATATTATATATGAATTAAGTTTTTTAAAATTTGAATCTTATCTAAATGAAATGAAGTTAGTATCTTTAATATTTGTACTTGTATTATTAATTCAAAGTGCTATTGCATACTCTCCAAAATTTGGAAAATTTAACGTATTAAATCCACAGGATATGGATAAAGTAATTCGTATCATCAATAGACTAATAGGAAAAATAGATTATAAAAAAAAAGATTATTCTAAGTTATTTTCAAGTGGAAAATCTATTCGTGTTTCATGTGGAATTGTTAAAATTATTATGAAATCAAAAGATGATTGCTCTACATCTGACACACAAGGCACTACAAAGGGTACAAACTTAATTCAAGGCTTTGAAAGACTTATAAATCCATTTATCAGTACACTTAAAATTAATCTTTGTGAATCCTTTGAAAATGAAAATCCTAATTACTTTATACAATATAAATTAGAACCAAAAGAAGAGTTGTTTGAGAAAACTAAAATTTCATACCATACTTATTTATGCCAACTTAAATCTAGTACAGTAATTAGTCCATCAATAATTTATATTGGTGATTTTCTAACTTCTTCAAACGGTAAAGTTATTTTGATTTTAGAATCAAATTGTGTTTTAGTTCTTTATTATCTTAAGGATAAAATTTGGAATTCAGAAACATCACAAAGTAATATTATATATTGTAAATTAAAATTACAAAATGATGGTAATCTAGTTCTATACAACAATTACAAAGCTATTTGGGATTCTAATAAGTATTGTTTTCCAGAATTGAAATGTTTAGAGTTAGATATATTTTATCTTACTGTTCAAAATAGCTGTAATATAAAAATATATTCTGCAATGTTTGAAGGTAAAGAGTTTTGGAAACTAAACCCTCCATATTTATGTTAAATGTTAAAGGTATTTGTATCACATATAAAGAATTTAATTTATATTGATATCACCAAAAGACTAAAAATATATAGAATATATAATATATAATAAAAATTCTAAAGATCTGTAAATTGTTCTTCTATAAACAATCGAATAAAATAAATCTCTAAACCTTTTATATTGTATATGTTTGAAATATTTAATAAAACTTGCTATGCTGCTTGAATATTTTATCTATAGATAAATTATGTCAAGATAAATAGAAGCAATTGTTACAAGGTTTTTAACCCATGATTAAGAACCTGATTTAGACCAGGAAAAGTCATAGATAAGGTTTTAAATATTAGAACATCTGAGACCATATTAAACAGAGGGTAGTGAGCTTCTTTATATCCAGATTACTTTAACTTGTTGGAGACATCCTTTAACAGCTTCATGCTTGGGATGGAGAAATTGCCACAGTTTTTAAGTTGGGCTGGGAATCTTTGATATTAACTGTATAGTGGTCCTAGAATCACAATCCAAAGTAAATTCCTCACAAAGAACACTCTCTTCTTTTTAAAGGTGGAAATAAAAAAAAGTCTAGCCTAACCTCCCATCCCTCTTGTTATCCTCCAAGCTCAATAATGATACCTTGTGCCATGTTTCTGGCACAGTTTCTATCCAAATTTTAATTTCCCATTTAACTTTTGCTGTCTCCTTGATTTTGAAGATTCCTAGAATCTGCCACGTGGCTATTTTTGTCCACCTCAGCTACCACGTCGATCAAGGCTGTTTCCACCACGTGCGTTAGACTTGGATCACAAGAGTCTGTCTTTGCAGGGTTTCTGGCGCGGATGGGAAATCTGGGGGAGGATTTGGTAACCAAGCTGAGAAGGGTTCTCCAGCAACACGAGGTAAAGCTCGAGCCAGCGGCTAGTTTCTACACGGAGCAGCAATGGTCGCCTGATTCCAACGATCCAACGCTCTCCTATCTGTCCAGAATGCTCATGGACGAAGACGACGAGGTTGAATCTCTTCCTCCGCAGAGATCTTACCAAGGTCTGCTGGACGAGCTCACGGCAATCGTTTCCCCTTCTTCCTCGAGCAGGGAGAGTTCCAGGGAGAGCGACTCACCAGGCTCACCCAGCGACGCAGGTTTCGTCAGTGGCGTGATCGACGAGTCCCCAAATTCTCCGACTGTAGATATACAGTGGTGCTTGATGGAGTGTGCTCGAGCCGTAGCAGCCAAGGACTTCGCGGCTTTCTACGCCCTGGCAAGCGATCTCAGGCAAGTGGTCTGGTCACAGTCGACTCCGCTAGAGAGGCTTGCGATGTTCTTCATCGAAGCGCTGGTAGCCCGGGTGACAGGAACAGGGCCGCAGACATACAGGGCTCTGGTGGCTGGAATGACCACCAGGAGGATTCTCTCGGGCAGCCGGATCGCGTGCCTCCCTTCCTCGAGGATCCACACCTTCGCCAACGATGTGATTCTCCGAGCTTGCGCTGGAGCGAGGAGAGTCCACATCGTCGACTATGGGATCTTCTGCGGTCACCAGTGGCCGTCGTTAATCAAGGCTTTGAGCGTCCGTCCGGAAGGTCCTCCACATCTCAAGATCACCGGGATCGATCTGCCAATGGTTCCCGAGGCGACACAAGCGGGGCAGCGCCTGACCGAGTACGCGAGATCACACGGTGTCCAGCTCGAGTTCTGCTCGATCCAGTCCAACTCCTGGGAGACGGTCCAGCCGGTGACGCACTCGAACGAGTTCCTGGTCGTCAACTCCAACGGCAGGCTGCAAAACATGAAGGACGAGTGGGTCGCCATTAACAATCCTCGCAAGCTTCTGTTCGAGAGGATCAGCAAGATGAGCCCCAAGCTGGTGGTGATGACCGTGGGGAACTCGTCCATGAGCTCGCCGTTCTTCCTCCCAAAGTTCGAGGCGGCGCTCGAGTATTACACGGCGAAGATGGAGTCCATGGACGCGTGGTTGAGCGACGATCTGGAGCAGCGGAGCTTGATGGAGAAGACGTTCCAGAAGGTGATCATGAACGTGGTGGCGTGCGATGGGTTGGATCAAGTGGAGCGGCCGGAGAAGTACAAGACCTGGGACGTGAGGGCCAAGCGCGCTGGATTCAAGCCATTCCCGGTCGAGGACGAGGATTACGAGAGGATGAAGACTACGTGGGGAGGATACAAGTATAGCGAGCACTTTCGGTGTGGAAGGGATGAGAATTGGGTCCTGCTGGGGTGGAAGGACGTGATCATGTGTGCAATTTCGGCCTGGCAAACCAAAGCTCGCTTCTAATCGCAGGATGAAAACATGGAGAAATCTCTCTTCCTCTTTTCTTTAAAGTTTTTGGTTTACTTAAGCAAATGTGTGGTGGATATACTTTAATATATTTGAATATTCTAAAATATTCTACCATTTATTCATCAAAACTTATAACAATCTAAAAAACATAAGAAAAAAAATCTATTTTTGTGAGTGCATGGAATATGGAAAGGGAATACAGAAATGTGCCTTTTAATTAGCCCAAAAACCCTAGCTTATATACAGGAGCGAGTGGTCCGGATTGAAACCAATCCGACGGCTACCAAAATCCACTACGCTAATATTAGTATACGGCATCGTAGCCGTACACTTGGCCCTCACATCTTGTATTTATAATTTATAAACTTTCTTAAACCCTTTCTAGTATATTATTTTTTATTTTATCATTTAATAATTGATATAATCTTGTGTTTATAAATTACTTATAATTATAAATTCTATTTGATCAGTTGGATTAACAAATAAGAATACTTAAGCAAACCAAGCTATTAAAGAAATGGTAAAAGCCCTAATGTTTGCCGCCAAGCGAGCGCTCTAGGGTTGGAGGATGCCGCGGGAGCGAGGATTCCATCAGCTGATCGCATGAACGCGTCTGGATCGGCTCGGTGGAATGCCCTTGCCTGGGAATGCGGCAGGTTTTGATGATGATGTGAGTGTGTTCTTCCTCTTGTTGTTCGCTTGAGACCCTGGTTGGATCGGCCAGGGTATCGACTGGGCGGCGGCCGTGACGGAGGTGGAGAATGTGGAGGCCGGGTATTTGCAGAGCAAGCAAAATGTTGAGGCGCAGCATCGAGCTGGGCGACAGCAAACACTCGATTCTTTCTTTAGAGGACGGGCGAATAGTGGTGAGCAAAATCAAGCTAGAGATGGAGATGTGGAAGGGATACAAGTGCCCATTGATCCCGTTGCTGCGACTACTTGGGTGTATCCAGGTTTGTTTCATACATTCTCTTCAATTCGATTTCTTTTTTAGTTCCGAGTTATTTCCTTCACCAACAATTACTTGAAATCCTTTCTGATTCGTCTTCTTGCGCGTTTTCTTTGTGTTGTTTACCTGTTTTATCTCTGATCTTTGCGCAGAAAATGTTCCATGTCGGGAGTATCAGTTCTCTATTGCAAAGACGGCGCTCTTTACGAACACCTTGGTTTCACTGCCAACCGGACTTGGAAAGACATTGATTGCCGCCGTAGTGATGTACAACTTTTACCGATGGTTTCCGGAAGGTATGCTTTCGGATGGTTTCTTCCTTTGATTCTCAAGGTGATGTCTCTCTCGTAGGAAAGGTTGTGTTTACAGCTCCTTCGAAGCCACTGGTTGTTCAGCAAATTGAAGCCTGTCACAACGTTGTGGGCATTCCTCAGGTACGTTTGCTAGTTGTGATGGCCTTTACAGTGGAAATTGTCTGCAGGCGTTGACGATAGATATGACAGGACAGATTAATCCCTCGCAACGAGCAGCTTTTTGGAAAAGCAAGCGGGTCTTTTTTGTTACACCACAAGTTCTTGAAAAAGACATAAAGTCTGGTAAAGTATCCTTTCTCGCTTTTCTTTTCGTCTTGATCGATTGCCGAATACAGGTAGTTGCCCACTACAACAACTTGTCTGCCTTGTTGTGGATGAGGCTCATCGCGCTCTTGGAAATTACGCGTATTGTGTGGCTGTCCGAGAGGTTATATTGTTAAAAAAATTTGTTCTTGTTTTCGGTGCTAACGTATCACAGACAGATAATGGCTGCGAAAATAGTGTTGCGAATACTGGCTTTGACGGCAACACCTGGATGTAAGTTATAGAAACATCCGCCTTTACTTCCTGAAATGTTTTGGCTGCAGCTAAACATGCAACCATACAATCTGTCGTTGATAATCTAAATATATCTTGCCTGGAGTACCGTGACGAGTATGATCACGACGTGAGCCAGTACACGCACGACAGGAAGCTCGAAGTTATTACGGTATGATTTTGCTACTTGGAAATTGGAGAAGCTGACGCGATGCTATTTCACAATTTTATTTGTAGGTTCCGTTGAATGCAGAATCGAAGAAGCTCAGAGACATGCTTTCAGATATCCTCCAGCCAGTAGTTTTAAAACTCTGTAACTATGGAGTGTTTTACAACAGGGATATTGCAAGGGTACAGTTTTCATTCGTCATGATCTTGTTCTGATGTTTTTTGGTGCCAGCTCACTCCCTATGAATTTCTCACTGCGAGAGAGAAATTTCGACAAGTTCCTCCAGTATCTCTTGCTCAAGGGCAAACTGGTGAACTGGAAGGGTGTTTTGGAGTAGGTATAACGTTATGCCACATACTCAAGCTACTTTCTAGTCACGGTATAAAACCAGCATTTGAAATGCTTCAACAAAAATTGCAGCAAGGGTACGACAGTTTGCCATATTTCTAACTACTGATAATTTCTTTGTAACAGGTTACTTGCACGGATGATGGGTCGAAATGAAAAGTTGCTTCATGTTAAACAGTTAATGCAGCAGACTATAAATCACGGTGCTCCAAGTCCTAAGCTTGATAAGATGGAAGAAATTATCTTGGCTCACTTCGGTAAGAAGATCGCTTTTTTATTAACATGTTAACTCCCTCTCCACCGTCAGGTGCTGACAATTCAGGGAATACAAGGGCAATTATCTTCACTAATTTCAGGGAGAGCGTAAAGTATGAACTTCAGAACTTTTCTTTTTGTTCCTGATATGCTTGCCTTAGGGACATAATGGAGTGCTTAGGCAAGATTAACGGTCCCGTAAAAGCTATGGAGTTTGTTGGGCAAAGCTCTGGTTAGTTTCATATCTACCTATAAGATGCTCAACTTGTTTGCAGGGAAAACTTCTAAAGGACAATCTCAAAAGATTCAGCAGCAAGTCCTTCAGGTCTGCTTCTTGTTTGGAAACATGAAAGTTGTGTGACATGTAGCATTTCAGAAGTTTCGAGCTGGTGGTTACAACACTATAGTCGCTACCTGTATTGGTGAAGAAGGGCTCGACATTATGGAAGTGGATCTGGTTATCTGTTTTGATGCCAATATCTCTCCTTTGAGGATGATTCAACGCATGGGACGAACTGGCCGAAAACGTGATGGCCGAGTGGATATCCTTTTTCTAGCTTTTGTATGATATACTGGTTTCCTTAACAGACGGCACTTGTTTTGGCTAGTGAGGGAACAGAAATTCAAGGTTATCTGAACAAACAAGCTAAAGGCAAAGCTATCGGCAAGCACATGATGAATGGTGGGCTACGAAGCTTCAACTTTCATGCCAGCTCTAGAATGGTAAATGTTTCCTAATTGCTATATGTTATAACATTTCTTTATCATGCAGGTTCCTCATGCCTTTACACCACAGTTACAAATGACAAAGCTTACAATTGAGAAATTTGTGCCTCGTTTTCGCAAAGCGAAACAAGACAAAACTCAAACATTTAATCCGATTGCCGAGCTTACAGCAGACGAGAGCGCGATGCTGTCAAAGTACTTCAAGTCACCGGAGGAGGAAATCTGGAGTCCATCGCTTATTGCATTTCCGAATAACCAGCTTATTGCTACTGCTATTCACAGTGTTAAACATTCCTCGAGGACCACCTCAATGCTTATTGATGTATTGCAAGAGCTGCGTGAGCTGCGTGAGCTGCCACCTCGGAACGCTATTGATACACTCCCGCCTTCAAATGCCGTTGATAACAGTCACCCTGAACTGCCGCTTTCAAAAAGTGATAAGGTACATATATGTTGAGTGTATGGCTGGAGTAAGTTTTGTTTTGCAGGTAGCCAAAAATGACGAAGACGCGGTCTTTGACCATGCTGGTGATCAGGGCTGGCAAGACTATCCATTTCATCCAGATCCCTATGAATCACTTGCAGACGCAAGTGCTGAAAATGCTCCAGCAGAAGCTTTACATCCTGCTCCAGAACAAAGCTCTCCGCCAAACCATCATTTTTACTTCACCAATGGTGCCATTTCCATCACAAATGAGGGGTACGTGATGGTATCTTCACCACCTGATTTATTCGGAAGAGCACCCGATAGCAAGCAGCTAGAAAGCACACATAACGCGTCTCCGGTGCCAATAAGTGAAAGTCCGAAACTGGTGGAATTCGTGCCAGAAACACCTGACATCGCAAAGGCGGAAGTAATCTTTGAAAGTCCCATTTTTACAAGACTGCCTTCGGAGGCTCGTGTCCAGAGAAGTGGCAGAAACAGCAGTAACGAAGACTGGAAGTGTCCTAGTAGTGAACTTCCCTCCGCAGTTAGGAAGCCTCGTCCTTTGAAACGGCTTAAAAGGGGACGAGAACTTCTGCCACTTTTGGCAACTTTCAAAGATGAAAATCGGGCGACTGATACAGGTAATATACATATCGTAATCCGCCGATTGAATCTCAACTTGCTTCATCTTTCAGAAAAGGAACAGATAAAGGAAGCCGTTCGGCATTTTATTGATGACGAGGCCGAGTATGTTTTCCTTATATTGTTTGCTGTCTAATTGTTTTTCGCTGTAGAGTTTCTTCGGATGCGGAAGTTTCTCCTGACACTGATCAAGAAAATTGTACGTGTAGCGATAGTTTCATTGACGACAATGTCCATACCAGCGGTCCCGGTAGCGGTGCTTCTGTGGATATGATGGCGATTTACAGGTCTATTGAAAGTGTGATGTTCCACTCTTTTATTGAACTTTCATCTTTACAGACGATCCCTGCTCTCACAGTCCCCGGCTGAAGCCTTGGCTTACATGCGGTCCCTTCATTCCGGCAGCACTCCTACTTCTAGCAGCCTATGCAAGTCATCCGAAAAATCCTCTCATCCACCATCGGTTCCTGCATCCGACAGTGGTAAAAAGTCCGTCACGTTTAATTTACTACCGCCACGGCCCGAGTTGCACACACGTAACGAGCAAGAAGAAGTCGAGTGCAGCACGAAGGAATTTAGAAAGAGGAAGCTGAGCTTTCATACGGGAGCAGGCCCGTCAAATAACGCGATAGACGCAGCAGTGAAGACTGATGTGGAGGTATCAAACGGCATTAGTTGCAGGACAGGCATGGAGAACAGGGAACCTTGGAAAGCTAGTACAGGTGCTGGGCCGAGCCACGAGCCAAT